ATTCTTTGCTGTTTCCGAACGTCTCTCACTAGTCGAGTCGATGACAGATTGGCCTGACATGCTGTCCCCCATTAGGTTCTGAGGATGAGCAATTAAGGTTGAAGTTGCTTCCTTATCGCCAAGGGTACGGAGGAATTCCGACTGTTCGTCCGTAGTCTGATACTGAATGGTCGAAGAGGACTTAAGCAGCGCAAGCTTCAAGCCCCGTAAAAACATAAAGAAACCACGGTGGCGAGGAAAGAGAAGATGTTTGAAAACTGGTTGGCCACGAGTGAGCAACAACTCATTGCTGGCTGCCAATTTGCTCGGGCTGAGTCGAGTGCCTTCAGGGAAGATAACGAACTAATAGAAATGAAATATATAATGTTTAAAAGCGATCTATCATGTGATGCAGAAAATATAAAATAAAACAGGAAAACGAATGGATAAAAATATTTAATTATCTGAATTCAATAACAAACGTTTTAATCGGAAAATAACTCCAAATTGCAAGTGGCGAAATCAAAATAAAACCAACTTTCACGAATTATTATTTACCGAGCTTATGCTTATAGGGATGGACGATTCGATCTTGATTGTATAAAATATAATGGCTAACACCTACCGGAACGGGTACTGTGTCTGGATAGCTAGCTATCCTCTTCGCGCCCTGTTCCAATATCGTGCGATCGCGCTTCCAGTCTCGATGTAGGAAGATAGTATCTGTTAGATACCATAGCCAGCCAAAGAAGGGAAGAAGGCGTTGGCTATGCTTCACCATAGCTTTTGCTGACTGTATATGTTAGAATGAAAATGGTCGAAAGGGGAGATAAGAGGAAATATGAAAGCCAAAAAAAGGAGAAACTATAAGCTGGATAATGTATGCATACATGAAATTGTTTATTTTTTTAAAAGCTATAAGGCTAATTAGTACTCAAAGTTTGGCGAATATACTTGAATCTTTTTAGGTCGATAGTATAATAAGCCGGTGAAAATAGCCAAAACCTTCAAAACCGGAGAAGACTTATCCAGAGCATTTTTTCACACCATCATAAGACGTTTAAATATTTTAAATAATCTATTTTTACCGTTAGTAACAATTTGCTATAAAGAACTCGTTAGCCTGGAAGATGAATAATGAATTGAAAGTCTTAAATCCATTAAATACCTTATACCATTTTTAATAATTTAGTATAGCAATGATACGAAGTAGTGAGGACTGAAGGCGATACTCTCTCAGCCTTTATTAAGAAATTTAATTTTCCCTTCTGAGTAATTCAGTCTGAACATGTTCCGAATAGGTAGTTGTGTATAAGAAGCTCAGCGATTTTTATAGCAGTATGCAATTGCTCATTACTCTAAAAGCATCGATCGCATAGTTGAGTTGAGAATAGAAAACATCAAATCATCCATATAATAAAATTAAGGTTACCTCTTTCATTTTTAAGTAGGCTTTCGAAACTATCATTATATCCTAAAAAAGAATTGCAAATACTGAATCCAGTTAAGGTGATGGGCTGGTAGCTGAAGTGTCCCACAATGATATAAGTAGACCTCAGAATCCCATTAAATTTCGCATAGACCTGCTTTCAAAAAAGGTATTCTCATTTAAGGTTAACTGCAGTTTCGTTTTCGCCTAGGTGTAAGCAGCCTCCTCAGTAGGAATATAACCTGGAAAGTGCAGAGAAAAATCTCGACACGTTAACGACCATGCTACACTGCTAAGAATTGTCTTGTGTGAATGCAGCTATAATATACTAAATATTACTAGTCTCGAAATGAAAATAACTGATGTAATCGGTAGTAGTAGCAAGTGTAACTGATTCATTGGCAATCCCATAACAGAGATGTGGTAAAGG